AGAAGACTTCCATAGCCCTTGGAGAAGGAGGCACTAGGAGATCCCGGGAGCAGGTAATCCAATTTTTCTGGAAAAAAACATTGTCTCTGTTGCCAAATTAGTTGTATGAAGGCGATCAAAAAGCCAAACTAGACTTGATGGAGCCGTCTTTTCACCCTTGCTTGTTACAACACGAAGGGGAGATGTCGTGAGAGGCGTATTTTATCCCATTCTTCATTTTTCTATATCTGGTGACAAGGCAGAGAATAGGAAGATGCGCATCTAAATGACGAAAGAGAAAATTAGGAAGCACTTTAAAAGAAGCACCCCCCCAATTCAAAACATCCGGGTTAGAAAGGGCGTGTGTCCAAATGTGGAAAGTTAGGTTGGTTTTGACCCAAATCGTTTTTTAATTAAAAGTTATGAATTATATTTACTCCCGTATTTTGAAATAAGAATATATTTCAGCTTGAATATGCACGAATGCCTATGGAGAACAAGCAGAGTCATCTATGGAGAATTATTAAAAATCGTGTTGGTTAACATGGATTTTACAGGCTATGCTAATAGAAAGTTTGTGTTCAGCTAGCTAAATATAAATATTTCTTGTAACAATCATTCTATATTAGCAATGCAGTTTACAGTTTTAGGTGCAAATTATCAAGAAAAAATTTCTAAAACTAATGAACTAGAAGAATTGTATAATGTACCTGTAGACAACTACACCGATAGTGTAAAAGTGACAAAGTGCACTCTCAAATAATTGTGTATGAATTCTAAAATGAGCTCCATTGTGTGTCTTAAATAAATTTTCAGCAACTTGATTCTAAATGTGTTAAACTACAACTTTTGAAATTTTACTGGGCTATGCTAGCTAGAAATTACGGATGTATAATTATGCTAGCTAGAAATTATGGATGGGTGTTATGTGTACTTGGAAAATGAGAACGTTGATTAAAGGATGGCTGAATGGCATTATTTCATTATTGCTTGTAAAATATCTGCAAACTGCAATCCCAAAAATGTTAGAAATATTAATTTACTTTATCTCCTGCCTTTATTATTTTTTATACATAACTCAAGTTGGTGAAGAAACAAACAAAAAAAGGCAAGAGTAAAATATCAAAACCCTCTGTTAACAAACGATTACTGTATTCAACCTGCAGGAAATTTATTACAGCTTATCTCTCCAATCATCCTAGCAGTTAACTCTGATTCATCCTGGATTAAATATCCAGGATTGTTTTTTAATGCCATCTCTTTTCAATTATTGTCCAGTTAAATATATTAGATTCTCCAAAGTTGATCTATATTCCCCAAAAAGTCCACTTGAAGTTGTTTTCAAGCGCAATAAATCCATTCTCCAGTCCTCTTCATTTGACCAGTCAGTTAGTCTTCTGCTGTTGTAAGAAAGTGCAAGGCTGAAGGCATGCATTATGCAGCCATGCATAATCCCCTCAGGTAGTTCTAAGTTTATAACATCTGTACCTCTTTTAATCTCCTTCATGGAATCTACACTTTCAAATTCAATTTCTTTTGTGAATCTAATTTAACTCCAATTATTTGCATTTGGATAGGGTTTGATAGGTCCAAAATAAATGTAAATCAAGTCCAAACACTTATTACTTCAAGCCATGTCGTGTTTCTTTTATGACAAAAGATTGTCAAAAAAGACCAAAGGATAAGAACAAGAAAAAGAAAATCCAGCAGGGGTTAAAATAAATCAGCATTCAACTAGGTCAACTTTTAGAGATAAGAAACTAAACAAAATAGAAACTTTAAAAAGTGTAGCTGAAACCCAGGTGTGCTTAACAACTGTCTGCCAAAAGGAAAAAGATGGATGACCTGGTTTTCTGCCACTCCCACTAGGACTAATTTGGGGAGGAGCTCACTGATTGATTGATCTTGAAAATCTGTTTTGCTTTGTTAACTGTTTGGGAGATCATCAAAAAGTCTAGGGCTCTGTATGAAAATCAGCATTAAAAAAAACATCCTATAAAAGGCAATGGCAAACCACTGGTGCAATTACCAGGAAATCTCCATGGATGTTTCTCTGAAGTCACCAGAAATCCAGCTCAATTTAAAGGTGCTTTGACCTGTATCCTACAAATCACACTTTTAAAATGTGGGTTCATGACATTGGAAGCCCTTTTCTCTAAGGAAAGTTTATCTGGACCTGGCTTTCTCCTAGACCACTTTCTAATTCCATTAATCCAATTTGTTATCAATAATTTCATCTCAGTGGCAGACATTTTGCAATACCAATAGGGCATGGGAAGAAATCATAAAACCCATCATTACACATTGTCACTTACTTAAGCCATTTTTTGTGCATTCTGACAGAAATCTGAGCAAAAAGAAAACCTAGCAAAAAGAAAAATTTGGCTGCGTGCCATCAATATTTTGTCTATATTCTGCATGGAACAATGCATGAAAAAGGCAGTCTATTCAGTGTGGAATAATCATAGTCATTTCACAATGTTTCTCTTTAAATATAACAAAACTTTGAACAGCAGAAAATATGAAAAAAAATAACTTTAAATTTTAGAACATTTCTGATTAACAAATAATTTCTGGACTGCCTTCAAAATATAGAAAATTTTAGAAGTGTTGTTATTGTTGTTGAAAGCTACAAATATTTCAGGCTTCCCCCCCCCCCCTTTATCAGGTAATAGACATGGCACTATGCTTGAAATGATGCAATATTGAAATATGTTATTTTGATTAATAGTAATTCCCAAATTTAGTTCACTGGCTCTAAAATCAGTTGCTTATCAGTCTAATTCATGCTGCCCTTCGGAATGTTCATAGTGCAATGTCAGAAACTTGAATATCTGATATGCAATAGATATCATAAAGAAATCATTAACCTACAAACTTGATGCACTGGTTGTTAATATTTGGCTGTGCTTATCTTGCTTATCTTATTCAAATGGAATTCCTGGAGTTCATTCCATCTAAACAGTACACAGGCTGTTCTAAAGATGCCCCACTGCCACAGCTCAGCTATTAGGGTATATGGGAACTGTATGTGGAAAAAGAAGTCTACTACTACATGAATCCTAAGTTACAGTCTGGCCCTCAAGGGACCAAATGGCTCCCATCCCTAAGGTAAGTAAGACGGAAAAATGCATCTTGCCATCATTTTTCATGAGTGGTTTGCCCCAGAGAATGTGACTTGCCCCTAGTCATATAGCTGACTATGCCTAAAGCAGGACTAGAATGTAGTTTCCCAGTTTCCAGCCTGCTTTCTGGTTTTTATTGGAGTTGGAGCTGTGTACGTACTGTATATCAGTAGAAATATAATCCTAAATTACATATAGTAGTAATTAAATGCTTACTTAATTATTATATGTTAATACAGTCTTTGAGTCTTTGACTATAAATTGCTAAGCTATGCCAGTTTAAGGAAAGCAGAGGAGGAAGGTTGCAGGTAAGATAAATAAATGGAGTCAAAATTACAGAAATGTCTTTGAAAGAGCTAAAATTTACCACTAGAGTCAGATGGCAAACATTTTAACTAAAACTTTAGCAGATGTGGTATTCTGCTCTACTTTCTTATTCATACTCAATGTTGTCATTAAGAACTGCAGGCGCTTAAAATTCACAAACACTTAATTTTTTAATTTAAAAATATTAATTTTTATGAAGAGCTTTACACATTGCCATTTTTAATTTAAAAACAGATTTACAGTTATCAGTATATTTAATTGTTTAGGCATTTGAGCTTTAAGACTGTTTTTTCAATTTTGTTCTTAATTTTTGTCTGGTCAATGGGAAGTAACATTTACCCTTTTTGTTTCTTCTTATATCACCTTTTATTTTTGGCCTCGATTCAATAGCCCAGCATAACCAAACATTCCTTATATTCACATTTTGCTTTCCCATGCTAAATTAGAACGAAGAACATTTGTTTCCTTATAATGGCTATATATGGAAAGCTTTGGACTAGATGGGATTCTATTCCAGCTCATCAAGGATTTTCTTCTGGACACTCTCATGATATGATTGGGACTGACTTCAGGGGATCTGCAGCTTACGGTTTAAAAAGTCAGGACAGTAGCATAGTGTTGCACCTAAAAATAGGCAAAGCTTCAATTGCATGTCACCACTGCTCTTTTCACTTTTTTTTGATTGCACCCTGTGGACACTGTAACTGGCTTCAAGATATTTCTTATATTCTGATAACATTTGGTCCAATATACAGTACATCAGGCGAAAGATTAGCAGAGCCATGCCTATGCCAAAGACAGAGCCTAACATAGTTTAATTTTAACCCTAACCCTTCCTGCTTATTTTTATATCCCATTTTGTTGCTGCTGCTGCTTACTTAAGGGGAATGGTGTATCTACAGCAAGCTCTAGATCCGTGTCACAAGGGACATTGTCCTGGACTTTTAAGTGCACGAACCGAGGTGAGGCAAAAACTCTGGGAACAGTCCCCCAGATCTTTTATTGGATTTCCAGGGCACTTCTTTTTTCTTTTCTTTTCTTTTTTGCATGCGGATCACTTTTGTTAAAACAACTGCGCGGGTCGTTTTCGATCCAACATTAGAAAAGCATTATAGGTCAACGTTTACGGGGTGGTTCTCTTTCCAAGTTGCATCCAAGAAACCGAGGATTAGGAACTAGCTTCAGCTCTCGACGCACTGGAGCCAAAGGCTGCGCTCCCACGGGCAGGAGCCCCGCTCTCCGGTGGAAATCCAACCCCAAACACAGTCTCCCAGAGCCCTCCGGTTGCTGAGCCGAGGATTGCGCTCTGACGAAACTTTGCGCCGGCCAAACCCTCCCAGCGGGCCGCCCCGCACCAGTCAGAGGGAAGAATCCGCCTGTCAGCCTGCCTTGTGACCGGAAGGGCCGGGGAGCCGCCCCCGGAGGAAGAGCCAGCTGCCGGAGCGCACGGCGTTGGCAAGGGAGCTGCGGATTTCCCGGGGATCCGGCGGGGAGCGAAGGCGGTGGCGCCGGCTGGCCTGCCCTGAGCGGAGGCCTTGGCGGACGGCTTGGGAGGAGAGGCGGCAGGTTGCATCTCCACTTCCACTCCTGCGCCGGACCTGCTGTTCGCCTTCTCCTCGCTCTCGGCTCCGGCCTCGCCGGTGTAGCAGCCCCCCGCCCGGGCGCTTGACCCAGCCTGGAGAGGGGTGTGTGGGCGGGGTGGCTGTGAGGGGCTGCCTGGGCGCAGAAGCTCGGCCTGGCCAGGGTAGGTGCCTCTGGAAACGACAGGATGCGAAACGCCACGTCCCACCCATCTTCCGTGGGCGAGGAAGCAGGAAAGGACGGGATCCTGCCAAGGCTGGCTTGAGCCTGGAGGAATTAAGGAGGGTGATTTTGGAGAAGAGCTGAGGCTTCACTTATGGTAAGGATGGAGCACTCAGTGGAGACCCGAGGAGCAGAGATAGGTAGCTCTCCTTCAGGTGTAAGATGAGAGTTGGCAGGTGGTCTCTTGAAGTGGCAGCCGGTGCAAGACTTATTGGTCTGTTTTTGAGGGAGAAAGAATTGTACCCACCAAAGACTGGCTGTTGCTCTTGAAAATGACAATAATTTGGGATGATTGATTTATTTGTATGATCATGTATATTCTGACTTTCCTGCAGAAGCTCAAAGGGATATTTGTAGAGGTCCCACCTCCAATCCCCAACGATCCTATGAGTTGGGTAGGTCTGGGAGAAGATGTCTGATCTAAAGTCCTCCGTGAGCTTTGGCTTAAGGTGGGCTGAATCCCATTTCTAGTCCAGCATCTTAACCCTTGCATTCAAGCTGCTTACAGAAGGATCCAGAATCTTACATCACAGCTGATGTTTTCCAGATGTGTTTGATTATAGCAGTGGAAGTTAAGAGTATGCAAGGCCAGCAGACATCAGTTGAGGAAAAAAATGCTTTAAAAACAGGAATTATTCAACACTTATTGAAGCAGTGCCATTTTAAAGGCATGGTAGAATCCTTACTGAAGATGCTGTACTTTCATTGCGATTATCAAGATTTCTGAATATATAGCCTTACATTTCCTAATTCAACTACATTAGGATGCTTGCTTTAAAGGTTTAGGGCTCCATATGGTTCCACAGTCACTTCTATTTTGTGCATTACAGCAAATCAGTTACTTATAGACTTATTAATATTTAAGTACATGCAGATTATAAATGCATTTTTAGTTATTCTTACAACATAAGAATACTCTATTCTTAAAATAGAGTAGTATTCGTCCTATGTACATGAGGCTGAGAATGAAAGTTTCGTCTGTAGATATAATGAAATTTATGTATTTTTAATCATAGTCTTAATTGTAATTTCTCATACTTTGCTTATTTACATTTGTGTTAGTAAATAAAGATTGAAGAAGAAAATAAAAAAATAGGTACAATCATTCAAAATCATAATGTTAATCAACTTAATCAAATATGATTTAGAATTTGATGGATTTTTAAAGATCGAAATATAGTACAAACTTACAAATTTTGTTTAAACAATTAGAATGTTGGTTTCATCTAAATACGAAGAAAAGTGGGCCAGAGTGTGTTGCATTCTGCACCTGCAAAATATAATGGAAACTTGATGATACCATGTTCTGTAAAATATGTTCTAAAAGCAAAATAGCTAAACCTACAAACTGTTAAGACTGTTCAGCCAGTGGTCTTTTTGTTGCAGTGTCTACAACTGCAGACACCAATGTGAAGAGGGACTAGCCTGTCCAATATGATGAGGATTACTTTTAAATAAGCATACTTAGATTGCATTGTTTATAAATAATACAATATTACCAAGAATATATTCTATCTGAAAACTGGCAACTTAAATTCTACAGAATTTATCAACCATGAAAAGAGCATATCTGAAGAGGACTGAGCTGGGGAAGGATAACCTGTCTGGCACAGTGGCCTATAGCATGCTTCCAAAAATTAAATAGCAGCATTTCTTTTAGGTCAAGGGTCTTCAAACTTGGCAAGTTTAAGACTTGTGGACTTCAACTCCCAGAATTCCTGAGCTAACATGACTGGAGGAGGAATTCTGGGAGTCGAAGTCCACAAGTCTTAAAGTTGTCAAGTTTGAAGAACCCTGTTTTAGGTAACTGTGAGGCACAGATGTGTTGAGACTAGTGCTAGATGATATTGGCATACCGTGCTGAGCCATCAATACTTGTTGCGATTAGATATGAGTTCCGGTAATTCTCATGATAATTTCTTGAGGATTTTAGAAGATGGAAGTATGCTCCAAAATCTTGGGTCCTAAGCAGTCAGGAAACTAATATCTGTCTTATTCTTTTGAGGGATCTCTGTTCTAGAACAGTGTTTATTTATGTATGTATTTATTTACATTTACAGGTTCAATTTCTATGGCTCTCCAAGCTGCAGATGCAAGAGTTCAATTATATTAAAATAGCTATCTTCAGAAATTTATTCCTCAGCAGTGAAAATTGTCAATTTCATACCATTAAAGTTTTAAAGAAAGAGGAAGCCTGGCATTTTGAATGATGAAAAGACAATGTAGCTTTCAATCCAGAAGTCCAGAAATCCAGTTTCTTTTTATTTATTAGTTTAGTAGGCCATCTTCTGGAAAGCACAATGAGTGTCAAGGCCTTCAAGCTTGTTCCCACAGTTGAGTGGGAGATGCTGATAGAGGACAGACCTCGTGTCCATATCGAATGTGTGGAGTGCTGTGGACGAAATCTTTACATTGGAACAAATGAGGGTTCTATTTGCCATTTTCTCTTGGAGGAGAAAAATTCCCCTTCTGAAAAAACACCTTTTTCTATTTCCAAGCAGCTGCATAAGTACCTCAGTTGCCGGAAGGCTGTGGGGGAGCTGAAAGCAGCTTCTGCGCTTAACAGGCTTCTGGTGCTCTGTGACAATACCATCACGTTAATGAACATGATCAACTTGGAACCCATCTCCACTGGGGCCAGAATCAAAGGAGCCCTGATGTTCACATTGAATGAGAACCCTGTCAATGGGGATCCATTCTGTGTGGAAGTGTGTATTGTTTCAGTGAAACGGAGGACCATCCAGATATATTTGGTCTATGAGGACAAAGTACAGATTTTGAAAGAATGTTGCACGCGAGAGCAACCTTGTGCTGTAGCGGTGGATGGCTATTACTTATGCCTTGCTCTCGCTAACCAATATATTATACTGAACTACAATACTGGAGCTTCCCAGGAGCTCTTTCCTTACACTGGTGAACAGAAGCGACCAATTGTGAAAAGAATAGGCAGGGAAGAGTTCCTGTTGGCTGCACCTGGGGGATTAGGTAAGCTTCAGCTCATAATTTGGAAACGTTTGCTCTACCTCTTCTTAACCCTTCTTCCTCCTGCATAATAATTTCACAAGATTTCTGCAAAAATAATATTGCAAAATCAAAATTCATGAAATGGTGATGAATGCTAAACTGGATTGTTGCCTTCTCATTAAAAATATCCAGAGAGTTAGTTGTGAAGGTCTGTTCATTTAGAAAAATACCTCCTCTCCTTATGGAATTAGTAACCTGTGGAGGATTTTATTTAGTGTCCATTCCACATTTCTGTGACAATTACACCTCTCTGACTTCTAACAATAAGAGCAATCCAAAAAAGAAATGGATTAAAGTATTAAATAAAGTAGTTAGTTCTAAACTGTAATTGATTATATTCTGAATCTAAAATCCTTAACATTCTGCAAAAGAATCAAGCTAGCAATAGTAAAATGAAATAAAAATTTTAAAAAGCAAATATGAGCTTTGTTAAATATAATTTAAAAGCTGTCACTAAATGGTTTTAATTTTCTTTTCATAGAACAGTAGCATTTCTACTATGGGTATTAATTTAAAAATATAATTTTGGCTTCAGAAGTCTTTTCTTGATTTGATTGAATTTTCTGAAGGGTAATCCGTTCCATTTTTATGAAACTGCTTCATAAATGGAATAAGAATTCTTGGGATGAATTTCTTATTTAAGTATTCAAACACTTGTGTATTATGAAAACATGAAATATGTGATCTAACATTTATTAACCAGCTGAATAGCTTATATGTTATAAAGAGGAAAATATGCAATTGTCCTCTTCTTTGATAAGTGAGATTGTCTGGATTTTATCAATGGCGATTGCCTGTTTTTTATATGATGGAAGAAGTCCTGTGTTAACTGATTGCTAAATAGTTCCGTTCCTCTGAAAAGTAAGTACTAAGTGAACTCCATGGCACTTATTTCTGAACAAAAACAGCCATTTAAGTGACAAAATAATGCTGACAGTAAGAACTGTTATTAAAAATTCTTTTTGGCAGTGAAATGAACTGCTTCAAGAGGATGTAAGCAGATCTTCATTGCTAGTAGCTGAGTTGGGTGGCCATTTGCCAGGGATAATATAATTATTTCATTGAACAGGGATGAGCAAGTAATAACTAAGATCCTTCCAACTCTGCGTTTCAAAGTGAAATTTAATTCTAGCAATAAGAGTTAAGGACAACCAAAGCATGGAGAAATTGATTGAACTGTGGCAAAAAAAGTCTCTGTATTGTGATCTTGCATTAAATGTAGAAATCTATAGAGGCAGCCATACTTTAAATACTTTAAGGAAAACCAATAGCCCTGCTATCAAGGAAACAAGGTAATTTTGAAGATTGTGTCAGGGTGCAAATAATTAGCATGCTACAATTCTGTAGCCTAAAATCATAGAACAGAATAGGAACATCTGATGCACTTTTTCAGATGGCAGAATATATTTGAGTCATGCTTGGAAATTATCACGACGTTCCATGCCTTTTTTTGCAGCAGGTATACCTTCATACAAACAGCAGCTTGGAATTCAGGGTGATTGTCAGTTGCCGGAGAAAGTTCTAATTTCTCCTCTTTATACATTGGCAGGTATGTTTGCAACTGTGGATGGAATTTCCCAGCGGGCTCCTGTTCGCTGGTCAGAAAAGGTGATTGGGGCGGCCCTCTATTTTCCGTACGTAATTGCTCTAGATGAAGAATTCATTACTGTGCATAGTATGCTGGACCAGCAGCAGAAGCAAACCTTGCCCTTTAAGGATGGGCATATCCTACAAGATTTTGAAGGTACGTAAGAGGGAGAGAGAGTCACTCTGGTCTAGTGATTGAACTGTTGGTTTAAAAGGTGGGAGACTATGGAGTTTTATCCTGCCTTGGGCACAATAACTGCTCAGAGTTGCTTGATAGTGAAACGGGTGACACATAAATTTAATAAACAACCAACCAATCAGCTGGTTGACTGGCCCAGTTCTTTTTCTCAGGCCTAGGGATGTAATAAATCATGGCAAGTCACTTCCAAAAATGTTGCAGAAAACTGCAGGGACTTGTCTCTAGAAGTCAAAACTGTTTGATTGAGAGAACCCATAATCTGCCTTTTATTTCTTTTCTATTGATTGGTTTGTTGTGTAAGACGCTAAACAGTTTCACAAGTCCGTTTTGCTAGCTGCTGCGTGAAGCTTCTGTTCATGTTGGCAATCATATATAAATAACAGGAAAACCTCAGCAAATCTGGACTGTTGTAAACTGGAGTTTCATTTCCTCATCCAAATGGAGGAAAGGAAAATTAATTGTGAAAGATCAGCAAACATCCATGACCCACAAAGACCTTTTGGATAACTTCTATCACTTGTATCCTGGATCACTATTTCTCCCTTGAAATAGTGAAAGAGAGTTATTCAGCCCTAGTAGAAATTATAATTTTACAATTTGCATCACTATTTGAGAAAAATGGCTATGCTTATATATGTTCCTACTGTATAGCATTGGAAATATTTATTTTCCCTTTAAAAGAGCATACATATTCTCTCTCTCATGCTTTGCTTTGTAAATTGGACATTTTGTTTTGTTTTTAAAATTAGGGAAAGTAATTGTAGCTACTACCAAAGGAGTATACTTCTTGGTCCCACTGCCTCTGGAAAAACAAATTCAAGACCTTTTGGGTAGCCGAAGAGTTGAAGAAGCATTGGTGTTAGCAAAGGGAGCCGAAAGGAATATTCCAAAGGAGAAATTTCAGGTTTGCCTCTGATTTTAAAACGTCTCTGACTGTCCTCAGACGATTATGAAGTTAAAAATGTACTTCTGTGTATTTGTTAATGTATTATGTCTTCAAGAGATAGATCTAGGTAAGGGCGTACAAAATGTTTTGAATTTGAATCTTTTGTTTCAAGCAAGAATATTACTTTGCTTTGAATATGAAATGGGATACTTCCAGTATGTACTTCCAAGCATGCTTTTTTGAGTTCAGAAAGTTCTATTACAAGTTCAAAAGGTGTTTTTTTTTAATATTATAAAAATGTTTTATGCGTGAAGTAGTCTCTTTGCTCCTTGAAGTAAGCTATTTTATGCTCGGGTGTTAAATGTTATGAACATTTAAATGGTTCAGATTTGAAATGTTTTGCACAGTGGTAATCCTGGGAGTGCACTTGTGTGAATTCCACAGCTCTGTGGTTAAATTAGTTGTGTCAGGAGTGATGAACTACCCTTAGGTATTGTAATTGTAATGAACATTTTAACAAATGTTAAAAAAAAAATCTTGAAACTTCTTGTGGCTTACCTTACCCTTATCTAAATGTTTTTACCTGAAGACAACTTACTGACTTCATCAAGTCTTGTTTACCAATGCAGTGTATTTATTTAACAAACTTACAAAAATTCAGGTATTTATCAAAGATAGTTCACATATTTGAAGCACGGTACACGCTGTTTTTGCTATCCAACTGGTTTTCCTGTATTGGTAAAGGCCTCCAATTGCTTTGCCTTCCAGTATGTGATTTTATCATGCTCCTTTGTCCTGAGCACAATCAAAGAACAGGATCTCTGCTTAAAAGCTAGCACACTCAAAGATGCAAAAAGAGAAATGGCTGGAAATTGGAGGCAAGCAAACTTGGGGAACCAGTTATTCCTGAAATTCTTCTGATAACCAGCCTGAATTAAAGGAATTGAAGTGCCCAATGGAGTTAATAGCTCAGTAGAACTAATAAAATCATCCTGTGGGTCTGCCGTACTAAATATAATGTAGTTGCTACTGTAGTTAATAATGTAGTTGCTACTATGATTACTAAGAAATTGCTTTTTAATTAGCATTCAATTTGATAGTGCATATGGTTAGACAATTATAGCAATTATAGTAATAAAAAAAGGCAAAATATACATTAGATTCTATTCAACAGAGAAATGAAGGTAGTCCTCGATTTACTATCACAATGGAGCCCAAAAGTTCTGTTGTTAAGTGAGACATTTGTTAAGTGAGTTTTGCCCCATTTTACGACCTTTCTTGCCACAGTTCTTAAGTGAATCACTGCAGTTGATAAGTTAATAATCCGGTTGTTAAGTGACTGGTTTCCTCATTGACCTTGCTTGTCACCGAAGGTCACAAAAAATGATTACATGACCCCAAGACACTGCAATCATCATAAATGTGAACCAGTTGCCAAGCATCTGAATTCTGATCACATGATCATGGGGATGCTGCAAAGTTCATAACTGTGAAAAATGGACATAAGCAGAGGTGGTATTCAACCGGTTCTGACCACTTTTGGAGAACTGGTAGCGGAAATTTTTAGTAGTTTGGAGAACCAGTAGTGGAAATTTTGAGTAGTTCGGAATACCACTTCTATTCTCTGCCTCCTGGTCAGCTGGGTCTTCTTTTGTTGCCCTGCACAGGAGAATGGAGATGTAAAGCAGGTTAGTGGGGTGGGAAGACAATGGGGATTTTATAGTATCCTTCCCCTGGAGTGGGGTGGGAATGGAGATTTTGTAGCGTCCCTTTCCCTGCCACGCCCACCAAATCACGCCCATAGAACAGGTAGTAAAAAAATATGAATCCCACCACTGGACATAAGTCACTTTTTTCAGTGCCATTGTAACTTTGAACAATCACTAAATGAACTGTTGTAAGTTGAGGACTACCTCTAATGACATTAGTCATTTTAATTTAAGTCTTGATACACCCATTCCAGTTTTATGGCTGTAATCTTGGCGTGTCTCAGTAAACACACATATCTTCTTCCAGAAACGGGCAGCCTGGGTTTTGAATGTGTAACAGTGTTCAGTTACAATAGTTTGATTGCCTTTATATTTGGTAGAGGGTATGTGGGCTATGAATTGATTGGTTTGTAGGATTAATCAAGTTTGTGCTTGCACAGGTGAAAGTACTAAATAATTGAAAGTGGTTCATTATTGTATGGCTGTAAATATATAATTAGAACACTTTAAAATATTGGGTCTTAATTCAGATATTTTGTTTCTATTCCCATTAATAAAGATGGCTGGTAATGTAAATTGATTAAATTAATAACGTGTGCTTCCGAGTGCCTAAAACTTTTGGCAAGCATTTCATGGAAGGAAGAGTATACATCCCAGATCTCAAAATTGCAAACGGACATTTTTTGCGGCATGCACATATGAAACTATGAATTTTTCCAACACGTGTTCATTCTCCAAGACAGTGTTTCTCAACCATGGCATCTTTAAGATGCGTGGATTTTTACTCCCAGAATTCTCCAGCTAGCAAGTTGGCTGGGGAATTCTGGGATCTGAAATCCATGCATCTTAAGGTTGACAAGGTTGAGAAAGGGTGCTCTCAGATATGTAAGTGCCCTTAATACTTTAGTGCTTATTTCCACTGTGAGTGATTCTTCAGAAGAATCTTCATTTAAAGCATACGTTTTATCATAGTACAGAAGTCACTTGAATGTCCTGTAGAATTTTCTACTGCGACTATATTTTTTTGGAGTATATTCAGGATTCTTTTGAACTAGCTGGTACCCGACTGTTGTGTTGTGCAGTCCCAAGGTGAAAGGGCAATTCATTTCCAGCTCTCTCAAGCTATATCTCAGGCTTACAATGTGGAAATGACTTCTGAATCGGGCCAGTTTTTTCTTCTTCCTTATTATAATGAAAACAGGTGGTTCATTGGTCACCTTCTAGCAGTTGCGTTTTCAACTTAAATTATTTTTCTTTGATTCCTTGGCAGACAATGTACAAACGAATTTTGCAGCAAGCAGGGTTTATCCAGTTTGCCCAGCTCCAGTTCCTTGAAGCAAAAGAGCTCTTCAGGTAATGCTGCTGTGGGGTAAGAAACATTCTTGCAGTCTAGTTCAGTGTTTCTCCACCTTGGTGACTTGAAGATGAGTGGATGCTGCCTGGGGAGTCATAAAAACTGCAATCCACCCATCTCCAAGTCACCAAAGATTGAGAAATATTGGTCTAGTTCATTGTCATGCCCCTGTTGGAATCTGATTCCGAGGGAGAGATAGAACAGCTGACAGGGAGTGGGAGTGTGGCTCTGGTGGCTATGGAGGAAACTGGGGAAGGGCACAGTCCGGCTGGGCATTGAGAGGAAGACCCAGGCCTATCCTCTCTTCATCCTAGGGCACGCAGGGAGGAACGGATAAGGGAGCAACGTGGGTTACGGGGGAGAAAAAGGCCCTGATTCCCTTCATTAGCTGCAGCTGGGAAGACAGGATTTAAAAAGGATGTTTGCGTACAGCTCCTTGCTGGAAGTAAAGCATGAATTGTTTTGGTTTGCCAAGTCTTATCTGGGTTCTGGTATCCTCCCAACTGTTTGTGTTTCGTTATCTTTTGAAGTCTTCAATTCCTTATCCTGCCTTGTCTCCTTAATTGCTGCAGCGTGGTTTGTGTTGGTTTTTATTTATAATTTATATGTATGTTGAGTTCGGACTGAATTTCTTCTCTTTAAAACCTATTCTTGGGAGAGTTTTTTCTCCAGCCGATAATAACTGAACATTGGGGGCCAAGTTGGAGGTATTAAAGGGACATTATCTACTTTTGTGACTTCGTTGTTTTTGTGCCATACCCCAGGTCATCACACTCATCATTGCTTGATTAGTTGGCTTTAAAAATTTTAGGACATTGGCCTGAAGTACATAAAAATCATGAGATTTAGTCAATGGACCAAATGAAATTGCAGCTGGTCTTTAAGTGATGTTCAAGGAAATCGACTAGTCTTGATTCCTGTACATTGGGCTTGTGACAGGACTGTAAGGTTCTGCCTTTCTCATCTGCCAGTGGATTCGTTTTCTTTTCTTGTTGGATACACCGGATAGAGAGTTAATACTGAAATAAGATTGCGTATTTGCTGCTCAAGCAGCTGAGCATCAGCTACTTGATAATTATATGTGAGTCTTAAACTTCTGAATCCAAAAAGAATTTGAGAGCTGGATTTCTAATGCAGGGTATTTAGGCTGAGCAAATTCTGATTGTGAACTAGATTACATCCTGTACCACTCAGTGTTATGCCGCTGATAACAATTTTGGCCAGTTTACATTCTCTGCAGTCCAAGTTTCTCACATACTGTATGAGATATATAGTAAAAGCAAGTCAGGATCAAAACAGGTAGAAATTACTCTGTAGGCTGTTCTCAAAGAAAAAACAGTTACATTAATATATTATTCAAATGACTGATCTGAAATCTAAAATGTGCACAGTCCAGGTTTTCCAATTTGTATTTATATGATGTATTTTAAAGCCATTGTCATATTTAAAAAACCGCTTTGGCTAAAAAAAAGGGAAATTATTGCCTGGTTTTGGTGAAAGAACTTTTAATTTTTAAATAGATATTTTAATGTTCTGTAGGAGAAAACAAACAAATTTCCATTTTGTTAAAAATGGCGGGGGCGCACAATTTGAAACCAGTTTGTTTTGTGCTGAATGTTTTTCTTTTTTAAGTATTGGTTTACCGTGGGATTAGGATTTTGAAAGATAACTTTTATAAAACCACCCTGGGCTTTCCTTGCTGAATCTGCCTCTTAAGTTTTCAAGTGCACACACTGGATAGACATTAACACTCCTGGCAGAATCCATTTACTATTTCCTTGAGCTCAGATGAAGTATTCTTCTTGTTGAACCTAGATCCTAGTAACTTAGGGGATACAACTATGTAACCTTTTAGGAGTAATGCTGGAGTGATTTATGGTTGTTTTCTTCTGGAAATTTTTCTGAATTCCCAGTCTACCCATACTTTCATAGTGGCTTTCCATCCGAATACTAACTGGATATAAATGTTAACTTGTTGAGACGAGCCAAATGTGGCTAGAGGTGGCCCCATAAAGTGTTGCATTCAAACACCTCCCAAAAAAGTATAGGAATTTTGAATTAGAAAACACTGTCATTTTTGTTGTTTTCATTTATTTATTTCACTTGCACAATCTCGACGGCTTGCAATATAATAAGTAAAAAAGTTGTACAAAGCAATTAAAATTAGGAGAGTTAAATAGAAAAGCTAAAAGCCAAGACAATGGGTGGCATGGGGGTAGGAATCATCATAAGCCACCCCAATGTAGCAGGCCTCCTGGGGCCCCAGGCCAGGTGGCAAAGATTAGTTTTCAGGCTCTCCCAGAAGGCCAGGAGCTACAAGAGTTACAGGGGTTATGTGGTGGCATACCTCACCTCAAACAGAAGCATATTTCAGAGGGCAGGGGCCAAGCAGAAAAGGTTTTTCTCCTGGACTATGCCGGTCAAAATTCTTTGGCAGATGGGATCCAAAGTAGGCCTTTCCCCCTATAATGAGTGGGTGGGCAGGCTAGTCCTATCGGGATGAGATGTTTTTCAGATCCCTTGCTATAAAGGCTTTAAAGGTAATGCCCAACACATTCAATTGGACTCCGAGGCAAATTGAAACCTGTGTAGCTTATGGAACGGTAGTGTCACATGTGCCACCTGGCTTCCAGAACTGTCTGTGTTACTGCATTCTGTACCAGTTGTAGCTTGAAGAGTAGCCCCATGTAGAATATCTTGCAGTAGGGATGACCAAGAAGGAGCATTGTTGTTATTGAGTGTGTGTGTGAGAGAGAGTGCACACTTATATCTCCTTTGACATTATGATTAACAGAAGCAGCCAGCTGGATGTCCGCGAGCTGATTTCTCTCTACCCTTTGCTGTTGCCTACTTCCTCTTCATTCATGCGCTCACACCCTCCTCTGCACGAATATGCTGACCTAAACCAACTTACACAAGGGGACCAGGAGAAGATGATCAAGTGCAAGCAATTTCTCATGACCTATCTGAGTGAGGTCCGCAGCACTGATGTCACAAATGGCTACAAGGAGGATATTGACACAGCCCTGTTGAAACTCTACGCAGAGTCCAATCATGAAAGCCTTCTGGATCTGCTGGTCTCTGAGAATTTTTGCCTTCTGTCAGACAGTGCTGCATGGTTGGAGAAGCACAAAAAGTAAGCACAGAAATCCCCAGATAATCCCAGGCTCTGTACAGCTTGAATCCTAATTGCCCTGTGTCAACTTGGCTGCTCACCTTTTGGAATATTGAACCAGAAGCCTGTGTCTCTTTGGCATAAGGCAGTCATAGTGGCAGTCTTCTTTATTTTCATTGGATCAATTTATTTTTTATTTGATAATAAAAATTATAAATCCTTTTACAAATGGATACTGTAAATACTACCTTTATGCAGCTGCTACTACTCCTACTCCTACTCCCAAAGGTGTTTTTTTTAAAGGCAACTGGACTTTGTTTTTCCTTGAAGACAATTTGCTTCTCATCCAAGAAGCTTTTTCAGTTCTTCAGACTCTCCTCCACCATTCAGTCACAACTGAAGAAACTTCTTGGATGAGAAGCGAAACGTCTTCAAGGAAAAACAAAAGTCCAGTTGCCTTTTGAAAAAGCACCTTTGGGATAACCATGACCTGGATGACTGAGAAATTCCAAAGACATACTACTATTATTGTTCTTCACCTCCTCCTCCTCCTTCAAAATTGTACGGTTTGCAATTTCCAAAGAGTTTGAGTCATATGTTAGATCATCTTAGTTTTCCAAAGTAGATCCTTTGGATTCAAAAATCTATGTAAACTATTTTGCTACTAGAATTGTCAGCTGTTTATCTTTTGAGAGCTGAATACAACAAAATTTCATTTAATGTATGCTGATTAGTGTACATTTAAAGTGACAATAAAGTTCTATTCTAGACCTATTCTACTGTACTCTACTTGCTCTGCTCTGCTCTTTAATTAGAAAAATTATATGGCTGCCCAACTGATGGTGATTCCAGGCAGCTTACATAAAGTAATGTCATAAGAGCCACTTTAGTCTAGTGCAGTGATGGCTAACCTTTTCCTTGTCGCGTGCCAAAAGTGCACACATGCTTGTACACGCAGTGCGTGCATGATCCCTCCTGCGCATTCACGTGCAACCCCCTGCGCATGCGCTGCAGCATCCGCGGCAGATACCTGACAATCAGCTACCTGGCGGCACATGCGTGCTCATGCACAGTGGGGCTTTTCCGGGTGACCTCTTGCGTGCCAGCAGAAATGGCTCTGCGTACCACTTCCGGCCCGCATGCGATAGGTTCGCCATCACGGATCTAGTGATTAAGGCACCAAGCTAGAAGCCAGGAGCCTGTGAGTTCTTAGGCATGAAAGTCCGCTGGGTGATTTTGGGCCAGTCACTCTTTCTCAGCCCAACTTGCCTCACATGGTTGTTACGGTGAGAGCAGGAGGAAAAAAACCTAATATGTATGTTTGCTATCTTGAATTTTTCATAAAAATCGATTAAGATGGGATAAAATAAATCAGAAAGAACTTGATTTTCAAGTTATATCCAAGTTACTTTTTCAAAGGACTGTAAACCATTGCATGAGTGATGGCCCAGGACTGACTCCCGTGTTCTGGGTTGAGGGCAATTTTGCTGAGCTAGCAAAATTATTCCTTCCTAGTAAATCTCTGTTATCTAAATGAAATCCAGGTAGCATAGCAGGCCATCTTGTGGATAGAGTTTGTTTCCTTGCAAACTTTCATCACTTGAGACTTTCAAGAAGAGATTGGACTGCCGTTTGTCAGAAATGGTGTAGGGTCTCCCGCTTGGGTGGGAGGTTGGACTAGATGACCTACAAGGTCCCTTCCAACTCTGATTATCTGTTATCTGTTACCTGCTTAAAGCCTTCATTTGCCTTCTACCCTTTAGTGGAAGTAAAGGCAAGTTTCGGGATAAAGTTATGCTAACCTGAGACTGGAAGAATCGAGGTGTATTGAAAATCTAAACCAAGGGCTCTCAAACTTTTCTCCAAATCCCTAAAATAATACATACTTATTCCTGCTGTATGGCCTAAGTCACTTACTATTTCATATTCCTTGTTGTACAGGTTTTTTGCACTTGGGCTCCTGTATCACTCAAATGGTCAAGATGCTGCAGCACTACAGGTTAGTGTGCAGAGTGGCATACCTCTTTCTTTTTCCACTTTAAGACTGTTCAAAACTTGTGCAGTGATGAAGGTCCTGAACCTGCAGAGGGTTTAGCGTGGAACCTTTAGCATGGAAGCCTGCTGGATGACTTTAAGCCAGGAATTCCCTGATCAGCATCAGTTTCTGCTACAAACCAGTTGATAAACAAAACCTGTTCTTATATCTTGCATTGATAGCTTTGCTATAAGAATTGGGTAAGTGCGGTGCACAAAAGGAGTGTACTCAGCAACCTTGTAGGACAACTTTAAGAACTCAACAACAAAACAGTCACAAGTAGACATTTTTAAAGCCAGTACCGATAAATTCATTGTTAGCAAACACTTTTAACAATGCAAAGAGAATGAAATCCTTGATTTGTTTCTATGCTCCCTTTCTATTTATTCACTTTTAAAAATGTTTAGTTTTTTATATCTCCACAGCACCATTATCAGTTAAGGTTAAGGTTAAGTTTCCTACTAAGCTAAGCTGCCATCTCAACCTGGATACATTCTGCCAATTAAACTATTGTAATGGTTAACCTTCGTTTTAATGTCTAACCAAACTGTGTATTTCTTGGTGCATCCTGTAAATTGCAAAGCAGAGTTCCCCAACCTTTCCAGGTTGGTATCGCAGAG